AGTTTATCTTGTCTCTACTTATATTTGGTATATGTCATTGGCTAAGTTTAGTATGAGTTTGAGTATATTTAGATTATGATGTCAGTTCTTAAAATAGTTGTGTTAAACGCAATATATTTTGATTTTCGAAAAATGGATATGTAGCTGACAGCAGTTAGCACCCCCTGTTGGTAAAGTAATTGTAAGATAGGGAGCGCTGAGGGGTCAGTGTGAGTATGTGCAGTGGGATACAGTGCATCCTATGTCCTTTTTCACCCCCACCATTGAGCGCGTAACACGCAAAGCAAGTCGATCGTATTCAAAATTACCAACATGCCAGTGTACAAGAAGATCAGCTGAACCCGAAAGGCACCAGGAGGTACTCCGGCTACGGCATTTAGGCACTGGAAGAGGCGGTGCCCGGCAAAATTTGTAGAAGAGCCTACCAGATCGGAGCGGAGCATGAGGTCATTGTGCACGGGGACGATGAATACCACACAGGTCCAGGGAAATGCTCAGCAGGATGCTCCGACAGGTATACAATTAAATACTGTTTCTGGTGTTTGGGGTTCCGTTATCAATAGTATTTTATTTATTTTTTGGTGAGGGAGCAGCGCCGGATATATCCACAAGTATGCCCGCACAGCTTAGGAAGAAGATTTGGTCTAATCAGTACATAAATTTAGCCTTGTTACTAAAGGGAAGTACATAGCTACAAGATATTTATGCGGGAAATAGTCTCTTTTTGAACGCCAACGACACTATTGAGTCTTTAAATTAAGCAGAAAAGTGGATTGATGCTTTTCTGATATTTATGCATATTTACTTGCGTCAATTTCCTGATAAGGCATGTGAAATGTTTCAGAATATTTCAATCATTCGGGATGCGGCCACCGGGTGTCAAGGCGTGTCTATGACAAACAATTTCGTTGAAGTCATGGTCGAAATTAAACTCTGATCTTTGGATGAGATTGATAGCTGTACCCGGTGTTACAAGTGGGGCATACCATACCGCAAGTTCACCATTGGAAGTGCTACCGTTAAGCCTGGTATATGTAATGCATACAATGACAATAAATGCAAGTTCAATCCATGCAAGTTTAAACATATTTGTAAACATTGGCATGGGGGGGCACCCACAGGGCAGCTGTGATTCACCAAATGGGACCGGAGGCAGGGTAATTAAATATACCGATATAGTACATACATGTCAGGGATTATTCCGTGACGATAGTGTTCATTTAACAGATATAGGCAATGCCATATTTATCAACACATTACTTTGGTTTGAATTTGTTTAACGTCCTATTAACAGCTAAGGTCATTTAAGGACGGCCTCTCCTGTGTGCAAGATGCATGCGTGTAGTGTATGTGCAAACCAGATCAGGAAGTTTTTAGTACAATCGTGTAATGCCGCAGGATGTTTCGGCTTCGTTGCTGACGAGGCTACTGATTGTACCACCGGAAAACAAATCGCACTATTTGTGCGCTACTTTGACCGTGAAAAGCCCGTAGTTTGTGAAGAGTTTCTCGGATTTAAGATTTAAGAAGCTCTTGCGGAAACCTTCAAGGAATCGCTCGAGGAGTTTGAGATTGACATTGACAAGAAGAGGGGCCAGGGGTACGACGGGGCTGCTAATATGGCAGGCATTCAGCGAGGAGTCCAGGCGCGAATCAGACAAAGGGTGCCATTAGCACTTTATACACACTGCAGATCACATTCTTTGAACCTCCCCATCGTCCATGCGTGCAAGGAAGCAATGATTCACAATTTAATGGAAGAGACTATCGCAGTTTGACGAGTGTCTACAAAACGACGAGTAAGCACTAGCAGCTATGGAAAGAAAGACGAAGTTGAAAACTCTGTGCGAGACTCGGTGGTTTAGCCAAGTAAATAACAACCAACTGGCCTCATATTAATGAGTTTAGTTGACGAGATGTCCGTCGCACAGACCAATTTTTTAAGATTCGTTGTATAACAAGATATTTCATATGACTGTTTTGATTTAAAGTATAGCCTTTCCCTTCTTATACCTCTTCTTGTCAAAATATTTGAAGGCTTTAACTGTGTTGAAGACTATGGTGACGTTATTTACGTCACATTTTATGTATTATGAAGTCATATGGCCTTTTCGTCACAGGGTGGCGAATTTGGATGCATGGCGAATTTGCCTGTACTAACGTTAGCTGTGTCGAGACTAGATGTTTTGCATCTAAACAGAATGTCGGATGATGTTACCTCCGGCATATCGTTTATGAATGATAAAAAGAACAATGGTCAAAGAACAGTCCAATGCAGATAGTACATTTGCTGTTGATGATGTTGTTCCCCCAACCTGTGCGGTTCTGGATGTTAGGAAGTAACTGATCCACTGGTTGATGACTGTTGATGCATGGGGCTCGTTTGGCACGATCTTGACAGTTTGCAGGGAAGCAGGTCCGCTAGGATTTATACACGAAAATTCTACATTTAAAAACCGACGTACTGGTTCTTCTGTATGACCGAAGGTATTTGGTTATATCGGCCCAAGGTAATATCGGCCAGGCCTATTTTATCCAAGTGAAATCGGCCCTACTATGTATCTATATGTTAAATACATGGGATGTATACATTTTTAAGTAGAATTATATTAAAACAAATACATGAAAGGATTTATTTAATTACATACTGGTTTTGTTTTTATTGCCTAGCACAAACAATGATGTTCGCCTACCAGACTGTTGTTATAGGCGTGTAGCTCATAATTAACTCTTGAGTACCTCATAATTAACTCCTGAGTACCTCATAATTAACTCTTGAGTACCTCATCACCGCCTCAACTCCAGGTAGCCAATCAAATGTATTGATCACTCACGCAAATGGTGATAAATATGACCGATTTTCTTGGACAATCACTTTCAATCGACTTACATCAATTGACCAACACTTTGCACCTAATCAACATGAGCGACAACTGTCTTCATTGTGACCGTGTGGTGAGGCCGAGGCAGCATACGTTGCAGTGCGACACATGTAGCAGATGGCAACACATGTCATGTGATACTGGTATGTAATTCAAATATAGTTTCCATTTATGGCCGAAAATATGGTTTCGTTCAATAAAAAAATACAAAAATTCTTTCGGCCATAGAAGGAATAAATTCTTAATCGTTATTAAAGTAACTTTCATTAGATACTTTTAGCCAATTTACAAGTACAATTATATAATGAAATGAAATCAAGTTTCTTTAAAACAACAATTAAATACAAAGTTAATTTAATTACATTTATGATGTGGGTTCAGATTTTATTTAGAACTATTTTTAAATGCGGATGTACGTCTTAGCTTGGCCTCAAGTTTCCTTTTGCGATGCATAATCTGACCGGTTTACCGTTGCCGATGTAGGGATACACATCACGTGACCAACAATAGCGTCACTTCAGCAAATTTTTCTCGAAGCCAAAGGTAAGGCGCACATTTCAGCTTTTGTTTACATAGTTATACTTCAGTGATCTTGTTTCCCTTCCGGTTCACACTGCTTGTTATGGCTGTTAAGGTGTCAGTACTTGGGCATAGCTACGTTAGGAGGTTGATGGAAGTAAACAAGCCTTCTAATCAGTGGAAAAATTTGAACCTGCGGGAGTCTGAGGTTATTGTTGATTTTCTTGGTAGAGGTGGCGGGACTGTGCAGACTTTGACGTCTCGGGAGTTTTCCTCTTACTTGACTGACAAACAGCCTGATGTAGTGGTTTTACAGATCGGGGGGAATGACGTCGATCGGCGGGGGTCTGATTCTGTCAAGATTGCTGGGAGTATTTTGACAATAGCTGAGTGGATGTTGTGCGGTTTCGGGGTCAAACAAGTGTGCGTTATGCAACTTCTTTTTCGGCGGGGCACTAGGAACATTCCAGTGGATGTTTATAACAACAGGGTTCGTGCCGTTAATCAGGTTTTGAAGGCCAGGGTGGCTGATCGTAGCGATATTCAGTATCACAAACACAGGGGTCTTAAGAATTGTGTTGTTGACATTTTCCGACCAGACGGGTTCATCTCAACAGGAGGTATGGAATCCCTAAGTATGTCCGTAGTGTGCGGGGTGCAGCGATTAATGCATACAGGAAACTCTGGGTTTAACCCAGTAGGTATAGACAGTAACACGGCGTTGAACAATGGTGGTTTCAATTTATCTTGTGTGTCAGTACCCTCAGCGCATGATAGCCTATATATATATGTGTGTGTGTGTACAGTAGCTATTTATAGCCTGTCATGGCAGTAGACAGTTAATGCGTTGATATGCTTTTACGAATGTAGTGCTCGGGTCACAAATATTCTGTGTTATTATGTTATTACACATTAATCTGCATTCTATCGGTTAGGGTCTGATACGGTTGATTTTACTGGTGCTATGTCTGGCGTTTCTGACTGTACACATGTGCAGGTTATGTGTGTTTACACACAGGAGTTTGGTCAACTTGGAGGGGCTTTAAAAAGTTCATATGTCCGATACCATTGTTTTGCCTGGCACGTGTCTGCACTTAAGTGGTATAAGCATAGGTGGTACATGTACTTGTACCATTGTTTTGCTTTTCAGCGAGTGCCTTGGCATAGGTGGTACAGCTCGATAAGTACCATTGTTTTTCCGGGCATGTGTCTGCACTAAAGTGGTATAGGCATAGGTGGTACAGCGCACTTGTATCATTGTTTTGCCTTTCAGTGAGTTGCAAATGGCATAGGTGGTAGGTCGGTGGATTTCTTCACGTTACCATTTTATTGTATAGTGTTGTTAGTGCAAAATGCATGCCAGGCATATATCCAGGATATGTTGCAGGCGTAATTGTTATTTAATTGGTGATAGTGCAGTCTAATCACTGTTTTTATTAGCAATTATTGCATTGTGAGGATGATATTAATTTGATAGCATTCATTAAGGCTACCTAATCTGTTTTGCATGGATCTTCCATGATCATTCATCCATCAGGTACAATAATTAAGTGTTTTTCACAATTTTCTGTCCTAATCAATTGCTTTCTTTTATTGGAGAGAGACAAAATGCCACCAACCAGAAAAAAGCGGGCAGCAGCAGAACGCCACTACATTATAAGGCAAAGAACAGGGGTACAAGTGGCGGATGAAGAAGTTACTGCCCCACTCCCAGGTAACAACCCTGGCCCACAACTTCCGCTTCCGGGTGCCTCGGTACCACCAATTTCAGCAATAGTAGCAGAGCTACTGGTGCAGATGCGTGCCGAAGGACTGGTGCTTCAACAGCACAGACACAACACCCACCCTTCACTACCTACACAACCATCGGCTACAGTAGGGGCTCCACAAGTGGAGTTTGGGGGTTCACCGACTGAGCAGGTGACGACATCTGCCACAATACACAGCCCTTTAGATTTTGTTTGTTTGTTTGTTTGTTTATGTTTAACGGCCCATCGACGGCTGTGGTCATTTAGGGCCATGGTGATTTATTTATTCACTTTACTTTTTTAACAAACATGTGAATAGCGAAGATAAAATCAGATAAAATGGTTCATTTTAAAAGTATTCGCATTGTATGTGTAGATAATTAAAAATAATAAAAGGGGGTTAAAATAATAAAAGAGATAACGAATAGATGATATGGAATATGCGATATATATATAACGTCAAAAAGGATAAGGTGGGTTAAAAGACATCAGAGTCTATAAAATAGACCGATGTCTTTCAAATAGTTAAATAATGCCTTCGAATCCACGGAACTGAAAAGTGTTTTCATATCCGGGACTCGGAAGTAGTTATCACGAATGTGTTTAAAATCGGAACATTCTATTAAAAAATGCTCCACTGTAAATGGAGTGTCACATGCGTGGCATGAAGGTATATCTTCTCGTTTTAAAAGGTACGAATGAGTAGGATATGTGTGCCCAGTGCGGAGCCGAGCGAGGACAACTTCCTCTCTACGATCTTTCCGACTGGGAATAGATGTTTTAAGTTTCGGTTGTATCTTAAAAAGTTTGTTGTTGGTCTCCAGAGACCAGCGTTTCTGCCATTCATTTTGAATGGCTGTACGAATAGTAGGTTTAAAATCTGTGTATGGTAGTTTGATATTTGTTTGTTCGAGATTCAATGCATTTTTTGCTTCCCTGTCAGCAAATTCGTTGCCTTTTATTCCGACATGGCTCGGAATCCATAGTAAAGTTATTTTAGACTTTTTTAATATACGAGATATTCGATGAGCAAGGTTTTGTACGATTGTGTTTTTAGGATCTCGTAACTGTAAACTCTGTAGGACAGATAGAGAGTCTGAACAAATAATTGCCTTTTTAATGCGGTGTTCATCGATATGGTCGAGGGCCAAACCAATGGCGCATGCTTCAGCAGAAAAGATGGAGGCGCCGTCTGGTAGTCGGACTGAAGTGCAAGTATTGGCAGTACAGCAGGCTGCTGCCACTTTCTCACCTTCTTTGGAGCCATCGGTGTAAAGTTGTGTATGAGAAGGGTAATTCGAAATGCATTCCCGAAAGGAGGATTTGTGTTCTTCGGGCATAACACTTGATTTCCCTCGCTCATGTAATGTAAAGTTAAAATCGGGGGTTTGAATGGTCCACGGAGGAACATCAGATATGTTAAATTCAGCTATGTCCGTCAATTTTATGTTGAGTTCTTGCAGGAAATTCAAAATTCGGATACCAAATGTTGGCAGAAGTTTTTGGTTTTGCGTAAATATGTTTTGGTATTTGGGGTTGAATACTTGGTTGAAAGCAGGATTTTTAGGGTTTGATTTTAATTGAGTTGCAAATTGTAATGAAAGTTTTATTCTTCTGTCATAAAGGGATGGTTCATTTGCTTCCACGTACAGGCTTTTTACAGGTGTTGTTCGAAAAGCTCCCAGGGCAAGACGTAGCCCTTGGTTATGGATTGGATCTAGCATCTGAAGGTACGAACTGCGCGCTGACCCGTATACCATAGAACCATAATCCAGTTTTGTTCGAATAAGTGATCTGTATAGGCGCAAAAGCATTTCACGATCCGCTCCCCAATCAGTATGAGAAAGGACTCGTATAATGTTTAACGCCTTGGAACACTTATCCTTCAGATACTTTATATGTGGTATGAAAGAGAGTTTCGAATCAAAAATGAGGCCGAGAAATTTAGTCTGTTCAACAACAGGAATTCTAGTGCCATCGAGTGTTAGATTTGGGTCATTGTGTGCTTTTCGTCTACCCAGAGTCCGAAGCCAAAGCAGTATGTTGCAGAATATCAGATCATGTCTCCTTCCTATCAAGAGTTTGAATATAGACTCATTCACCACTTATCGTTTCCAGAAGGGGAATCAATAAATGATGGCATAAATGCTTCAGATAAATCCCTTCAATATGAAACCATTGACGATGCTATTTTTCAAATAAACATTTTCGGCCAAGGAGCCTTGCTCGCAAAAACAGACTTGGAGTCTGCATTTAGAATGCTGCCAGTTAGGTCCATTGACTTTGAATTGCTGGGCATGAAGATCGGGGAAAAATACTTTTATGATAAATGTCTACCTATGGGTTGTGCTATTTCTTGTCAACTTTTCGAAAAATTTAGTGCAGCCCTGGATTATGAGTAATCATTTTAGGACAAAGGGGGTTGTTCATGTGTTAGATGATTTTTTGTTTATCGGGGCTCCGGGTACAAAACAGTGTCAATTTGCATTACATAATTTTCTGAGCATGTGTCTGAAAGTGGGGGTGCCCATAAAACATGAAAAAACAGTGCAACCTACCACATGTATTACTTTTTTGGAGATAGAGCTAGATACACAGAAAATGGTAGCTAGATTACCACGCGAAAAGGTGGAAAAGATATCGTTAGCTCTGGCTGATTTCATGCCACGACATAAGGTCACACTACAAGAACTTCAATCTTTGATAGGACTATTAAATTTTGCTTGTCGGGTAGTGGTCCCAGGCAGAACTTGGTTGCGAAGGCTGATTGACTTGACAAAAGGTCTGACCAAACCCTACCATCATGTTAGACTCAACAAGGGTGCTAAAGCTGATTTGAACGTTTAGTCAATTTTTATTAAACATTTCAATAACTCTACCATGTTTTTACCCAATCATTGTGAAACTAACGAAAGGCTGCAAATGTTCAAGGATGCAAGCAATCTAGGTTTTGGGGCACTTCTTGAATCGCAGTGGTTCTATGGCGAATGGAACAGCGAGTTGCAGCAGCATCATATCAATATTAAGGAACTATTTCCAATAACTGTGGCACTTGAACTTTGGGGTAATCGGTTAAGAAACAAGTCAATCTTATTATTTTCTGATAATGAAACCGTTGTAGCAATAATTAATAAGCAAACCTCACCAAACCCTCACATGATGGTTTTAATGCGTAGATTAGTCACAGCATCACTGTGTTTTAATATTCGCTTCCGGGCTAAACATATTCCGGGAAAACAAAACGTACTTGCTGATGCCCCGTCTCGTTTACAGGTTCAGGATTTTCGGAACATGGCTGGCCCCTCATATGGACAGACTGCCCACGCAGATTCCAGACAGACTCTTACTTATTTAAATGATAAGGTTCTCCAGCTCGTTCATTTAGCATAAACACCTAACTCAAGGAAAATGTATCATAGGGTCTTTGTCATACTTGTACATTTTATGCAGTCAGTACTGCAAAAGGAATGTCACCTGCCTATAGATGCAAACACCATAATGCTGTTCATTGCTCACTTGTCAGAAAAAAAAATTGGCCTCATCCACTATTACAAGTTATATGTCGGCTATTGCATACGTACATAAAATGGGAAATTACCCAGACCCCACACAATTTTTCATGGTAAAAAAATGCTCGTGGGTCTGCAAACCTGACTTCCGAAAACCCATTACCAAACCGATATTACACCTTCTGCTAGGGGCATTGACCAAAGTATGTAGTTCATATTATGACAAATTAATGTTTCAGTCTATGCTTTTGTTAGCCTTCCACGCATTTTTACGGGTAGGAGAGATTGCAAACAACGGAAGGAGCAAAAACATTCTCCAGTTGTCAAATATTCAATTTTTCCGTCAGGGGACTGTTTATCCATCACGCCTAGAAATAACATTTTACTCCTATAAAGGGCACTATAATACCTCTACAGTCATATTATCTTTGAATAAACAGCTCGACGAGTCAAGGTGTCCAGTTCAAAGCTTATTTAATTTTCTCCAGATAAGGGGCTCTAAAGAAGGTCCGATTTATATATTTCCGGATGGAAAGGCTGTTTCCTATCAGTATTTCAATAATACTTTGCAGCACGCCTTGGTAGTGGCGGGTTACAAATGTGATGCCTATAGGAGCCATAGTTTTAGAATAGGAGCAGCAACTTCCGCGGCCAGTCATGGTGTTTCAGAGGCAGACATTCAAGCTATGGGCAGGTGGCATTCCAATGCTTTTAAACGGTATATTCGCATACCACTTCTTGAAACGTGATTGAACTATAAGGTTGCTTGAATGCATGGCATTCCTGCATCACTTCCGTTCAATGTTATTAAGGGAAAGTTTTTTGGTCTGAGCGTTAAGTACAGAATGTTTATTTTGTAAATGCGTAGCAGCTTTGAATGCATAGCATTCCTGCTGGTCACCAGTTTATTGTAAAGATTTTGTAATTTAACTGATACATTTTTGTTGAGTTACATTGTATTCCTCGTTGCATTGGATGAATGGCATCCCTGCTTCAAACGAAGGTTATCATGCATTGGTCGGTATATCCAATGTTCTATATATTTCCTAATTGCTTTGGATGCATGGCATCCCTGCTTTATAGGAAGGTTATATTATCATGCATGGTCTGTATATTCGATGTTCTATATCTATCTCCTAATTGCATTGGATGCATGGCATCCCTGCATGACAGGAGTATTAATTGATGTGCATGTAATTAACGAGCTGGTGTACATGTGTCTGTATTAGTATTTCGTTATATTCGGACATGCAAGCTGACAATAACCACAACAGGAGGCAGTCATGTGCCTCAGGCCCTAGTGCTCATTGGATTCCTTTCGGATAGTCAGCAGCTGTAACAAATAGGACAATTTGTGTGTTCAGTTGTTATCACGAATATTGCCACGTTATTCACTAGAGACATTGTATACGGTGTCAGAAGCGACCACCTAAAACATACTATGTGAAACTTTTGAGTCCATATTAATGTCAACATTTGTCATTAAACATGTAATATAAATATATGTATATTTCAATATAATTTATCAAGTATTGTGTACGTTATATAATCCTATACCATGCATAGTCGAGTCATACAGCTGCGGGTGGGGTTGGCTGCATTTAGTGAGGCCAGGTTACGTACAAGCGTATGCTGGTCTCCCTCAATTAGCCAGGAGGCGGTTTTGCCCCCCTCCTTTAATAGTCACATAATTGTTTTCATTAGGCATAATGCCTATATGTATTCAGATCAGTATGATGTGGCATGTTTTACATGTTGTGCATACATGTTTTTATTTTACGTTGTTTTAGGAAGAAACGACGTGACATGTTTTGTATACATGATTTTATTTTATGTCGTTTTTATAATAAACGGCCTATTTCAAGCCCCCTCATTCATGCTGTGGTATTACTTGTTTTTATTTGACTATTGAACTTTTAATAAAAGCTTGCTGTATGACTGGGTACTGAACCGCACATCATAAATATATGTATATTTCATTTATGGCCGAAATATGGTTTCATTTGATACTAGCGCTCGTACAAAATACATGTACGGGCACTGAGTATCTAATGAAATCATGTTTCTCATAAGCATGTACACACGTATGTCGATATTTGATTTTATTAAATATTATATTTCCGCTCTACATGTCGTCGGCGGTCATATAATGTTTGATAAAGTCAAATTGTGTATGTTCGTGGTGTACATGTAGGCGGAAACTATGATTTTATTAAGCATGTTCACGTAAGTCGACACGTTTTGAAAATAACTTTAAAATTTTCATTGTAGGTATATCTCTTGAGATGTAAAGAGCCACCGTCCGAGGCGAGGGAGGGATCATCTGGTGGTACTGCCGCGACTGCCAAAACGATCCTCCTAGTCGTTTAGATGACACCGTCAAGATGGGGCCGCCAATGTTAAAGAGGAGCGACGCCACGGCCTCCGTTGACGTCATCGCCAGTTTTGGAGAGGAGCGATGCCATATGTGAGGTTGCAAACTCTACCCTCACCAGCGACTTTTTGGACGAGGTAAGAACTATAAGCAAAACGAGCTACAATATTAGTTATACAGGTCTTTGGCAGGTTACATGGTCTCATGTTCGCTGTCAGGACCTTATGTACCCTGAGCCGAATGTTCAAGCGTTGTCGTCTTGTAAAGACTCCCATCCTGTTTCCTTGCATCGAGATAAAAATGGCCCAATNTTGTTACTTTTCTTTGTGTTTGTAGGTATAAGTGACGCCCGTTTTGTCTCAATTTCACTCTCCGTGTGGCTTGCAAACCGTTTCGCCATTTTGTTCATTGTTGACATTAGACGAACGTTCTCCGGTGTGTTCGATTCGAATCTGCGAGTTATCTCCCTTACAACAGGCGCGCGTGCTCTTATGTACCCCGGCAAGGATACTAACATAGCTTCAGGTACCTTGGCAATTCGACCAATCACCGTGCGACATTTTTCTTTGCAGTATGACAAGCCGACATATATATTTTGTTGAACAACCGTAAAAACAATAATACTATATATATATTGCACAAATAGCATTAATATTGTTGCATATCAATATTATGATATATATCTTTTGCAGCCACCAGCCTTCGGATTTTCACCGATCAGGAGACTGGACGCAACCTTCGTCGTTCCGGACTCCGCCACAGACGACCCAGACGCCACGTTTCCTGTCTCGACGGGTGGAGATACCATCGATGAGATGAATACTAAAAAGGGTATATGTGTTGATGACTTGATAAAAATGGTATGAAATATCGATGAGTAATAACCTTTACAGAATCATATAAAAAGATCCGGGATATATACAAATCATGTACATTTTATTTATAATTTGTCGATTTCTCATTGTAGAGACATCCATGATGCTTCTTTCGACCTTCAGGACCAGCCAGCCTATGACGACAGTTTTGACCTCACTGTCCAAGACCATGATGACCCGACTCGCAGAGCAGTAAGTGAATCATCAAACGGAATACACTTAATAATTGATTTTATTTTCAAATCGATAACAATTTAATTACATATAAAAAAATGTTGTTAAACATATATAAATGTAAACATTCATGTATTTTTTTTTATTGTAGATCCCTAGCCGACGCCCTCATCACTGACACCGTACTGGAGGATGAGGAGGTGACCTGGGGGGTAGTAGACCAGGGAACCAACCGTCGTTGCCGGAAACTTGTTTCCAGTGACGGATACACTTACACTGTGAAGGTATGGTATACTCTTGAGGTAAAATAAAATGCCTGCAGGCAATTTCAAGATGTGTAGGTAATACTGAAAAGTGTTAGTTATATTAAAATGTGAATGCAACATTGAATGTTATGTTTTAATTTAATATAAACAACAACACGGCGGATCTGTATGTTTTATCTTTTATGTATTATTTTTTACAGGGATCAACCAAGACAACCACAACATGGAGATGTTCCGTCCGGAATAAGAAGGTTTGGTGCCGGGCCAGCGTCAGCCAGCGAGGGGATGTGTTCACCTGCGGTACTATTGACCATGTCCACGGTTCGGACAACTTGGCCATGAAGAGGGTGAAGGTAAAGACTCAGGTGAGTAAATAATCTGCTCTGAATACATGATAACTTTAGACCAATGGACTATTCGATAATGGCGTTTTCATACATTTGAAAATATTTTCATGTTCAAAATAACAAAATTTTATTGCTAAATGATCCCATGTATTATTTTACATTTACAGATATTGACCGAGGTCATGGCCACCGTCCACACTTCAGCAGCGACTATAATGGAGGACGTCCTATCTCATCAGTACCGCAAACCGTGCCCGACAGATGATCCGGCCACGGGAGCCCACTGACCTGGACTTTGTTGTAAGTATTACTATCTATTTATAGCCCGATGCTACAAGGTATACCGAACATTTTTCAAGTACCAAATGGAACACCATAACAATAATTAATTGTTTGTTTGTTTTTGTTTAACGTCCTATTAACAGCTAATGTCATTTAAGGACGGCCTCCCCTGTGTGCAAGATGCATGCGTGTAGTGTATGTGCGTGTTTTTTGGGAGGCTGCGATATGTTCGTGTTTGTCTCCTTGTGATAGCGCGGAACTGATGCCGACTTTATAGTGCTACCTCACTGAAACATACTGCCGAAGACACCCAGCAGGACGCCCCACCCGGTCACATTATACTGACAACGGGTGAACCAGTCATCCCACTCCTAATTTGCTGAGCGTTAAGCAGGAGTATAAACTACCATTTTTAAAGACTTTGGTAAGTCTCGGCCAGGGGACAGACCCCAAAGCCTTCCTCACAGGGGCGAACGCTCAACAAATGGCCAAAAGTGAGGCATTGTCAAGGGAGACATTAGGAAGAAGAAAGTTATTTAGAAAGGAGAGAAGAGATAAGGTCCCAATACATATTCTTTTACAAGCAGTATAATACAATGAGTTTAATCTATATTTCAGGTTGATCAGGAGTTCGTTCGATGTCCAGATTTCGTCATCGGTGACGTGAGTGAGGATGGTCAGCGACACCCGATGTTCGCCACTCAGACCCAGTTGAGCCTTCTCCGACAGGCTCGCCGATGGTAGGTTACAAAGCAAAGCAAGATACATTTATATCCAAATATATATATATTAAATATCTTAGTGGAAGTTGTTTTTTACCTTTGATATCGTTTATCTGATGTTTATAATCATTTAACTAAAATATTTGTTTTTCAAAGGTATATGGATGCAGAAACGTATAATGTATTACACGTCTCTGATGGATGGGACCTTCAAGATCAGGAAGGAGCCTTCACTCAGCTATGGAGTATGTGTTTGAAGCAGGTGCCGATACTGTTCGTGTTGATGTCTCGTCAGCGAGCACAGGACTACGTTGTTGTAAGTTATAACAATGCAATGATATAGATTAAATTGTTATTTGAAAAAATAAAATCATACCCAGAGATACTTTGATTTTATTTTCAAATCAGCTAGGCCCCAACTTAACGGTCACTCTCATAAGACGAAATGTCTTGCGGGTAAATTTAAACAATATACAGATTCGTCCAACCTGAAAAGCAAGAAGGGCATTTGCTAAAACATATTCAGAATGATTGAAACATCAGTTATAAATACACAATAACGTTTGATTGATTAGCTAACGAAAACAACATATCAAGTGTTAATAATTTGTTCGGTATTTTAAAGGCGATATTGTATACTTCAGCGATACTAAAATCTTACCTTTTCGTCACAAATTATTTGATAACCCCCACCACTGCAATCAACATTATGGCTTCACATGGTAACTGGTACCTTGGTCCGTAATGAAGACGCTAAATAGAACAGATTCGGTGTTTTCGTTGCGGGGGCTACACGATTCCGACCGTGGCACGTCTCAATACCCCATACTACTGTGATACGGCAAAATACGTCCCGTGAATAGGCCTAATACTGCCACATACAACCAAACACTACCCGATACTGTATACGACCAAGTACTACCAAACAGATATCTTTTTTTGTAAATATCCCTCACAATTACATATATTTTACACCAATATGGCCTGTTGTTTGGTGTTCATTAGGTCGACAGACCGTTCGCTGTAAATCAGTTGTGTTAATTTCAGACATTTATTTCGAGTTAGTTCCCTTATACAGTATCTTTTTCGTTCATATTCAGAATTGTCGTATTTATAGAATTTTTGATACGAATTATTTTTTATATTAATGCATTTAATTTCTATAGCTCACATTATCAAAAAACCTAAAATGATTATAAAATGTGTCCAATACTACTAATTACTTCTCTCCAATCAATGGGGTGGGGTCTACCAAGAACCAATCATTACACCCGAACACGACAATTACATGACTTTTTATCAACAAACACAAAACAACTACTGGCCTTTAATGCCTCTTGGATTCATAATATATGCTTGGATATTCAAATTAATTTCAAGTGTTATTTTCGAGTGTCAATGGACATTGCATGGCCTTCAAAAGGACTGTTTTGTTTCACAGCAAGCTGCTACAGATACATCAACAGATCCTGTAGGCGTATATCTTCATACCGGCGTTCGTCGATGCTGTTTCCCTTGTCTGCAGGTGTACCAAGTTTGGTAGGTATTCGGCTGGATACTTCAAGTCCCAAAACTGGATGAAATCGCTGCCATACTTCTTGAACTGAAGTGTATTGATTTTCTGACGCTGTTTTTCGAAGACGTCCTTCGTTAGTCCTGGAGCTCTAAATGTCCTTCTGGTCAGGATTTGCGCTATCAATACTTTGGTAATGCCGAAACTGTGCATAGACTCCACTAGCGACACGATCCTGGTGTAGATCTTCCTTGGTCTTATGTCTGCCTCCAACGTGTATTTTAGTCTGTTTTGTTTAACGTCCTATAAACATTTAGTGACGTGGATGAACGCTTCAGCTGCCCCTACTTCTAACAGATTCTGCAATGTCGCCTTGTGCATCCTGTCGGTATGGAGTCCTTCTTGGCCGCAGAACATGGTAGTGTGAGGTGTGCCCAAGTCCCAATCGCATACATTTATAAGTCTATGTACAGTACACTTCATAGCCATTATGAATAATTCACAATGTCATCGCGTCAAGGAATTCGTTTAAGCGTTCGATCACCCAAAAACCCCATCAGGGATCTTGGTAACGGCATATCGCAACCCGCAATGATTCTCGTCACTTGATCAGTCACCAGGGATCGCGATGATAGATCCTCAGTGATGCATCAAGGTCGGTTGTCCTCGCGCATCGCCGCAACTGGGTACGCATAGTCTTGCTGGCGCTCACCGTAATTTACCTGTGGTTGATGGAGGAAGGTTTGCAGAACCTATAGTGTATATGCCAGTGTATATGTATACTGAACAAAAAAAGAAACGCACAATTGAATTATGCAATCAGTATGAAGGGACAAGTCTACTTTTTACAATACTGTAGAAAAAGTCTGACGTCACTCGTGTCATCAGTAGTTACTCAAAGTGGAATACCTGCGAAAAACAAAATGACACTTCAGTTCCTGGTGTGGGCACCTTTTGCACGGATTCTCCTATGCATCGAATTCATGAGAACATTTATTCGCCTTAAGGGAATGTTGTTCCATTCTTGTGTTAATGCTTCGATCAACTGGGCGCGGTTAGTTGGGTTGTTTTGATGTTTCCTAATAGGCCTGTCCAGCTCATCCCACAGATGCTCAATGGGTGACATGTCGGGGCTCTATGGGGGCCATTCCAGAGGCTGAACGTTAATTGCCGTGAGAAAATCGCGACAAACTCTGGCAACATGCGGTCAAGCATTGTCCTGCTGGAAAATTAGGTTATGACGTCTGAGAAGTGGAAGGACATGTGGTTGGACGATCTGGTCTCTGTATCGAACGGCATTGAAGTTTTGATCCAGGACCACTGAAGGGGATTTTACTCCATGGGAGATGCCTCCCCATACCATCACAGAAACCCCACCGAATCTATCGCATTCAACCACGCATGCTTCGGTGAAATGCTCACCACGCCTGCGATATACCCTTTTTTCTTCCGTCTGAGCGATACAGACATAATATAGATTAGACGGTGAACATCACACGCCTCCATGAATGCATCCCAAACCTATTCGGGCCATGTCTGCGCATCCAGTAAAGTACGCACTTGCTGCCTCCGTGGTGTCAGAGGTATTCCGACAAAAGGTTGACGCGCAATGATTCTCTCTGCACGCAAGCGGTTCCTGGCAGTTTGAGGACTAATGGGTCTGCCATGAATACCTAAGGTATGCGAGGCAGTCTCTACAGCAATGTTGAATCTGTTGCACAAGTGTGACAATCGAATCGCCCTGTCTTGTCGTGGGGTCGTTACACGCGGACAATCTAACCCAATAGCACAGAAACGTGTACAGAGACGATAAATTGTACATGGGCCAACACCACTTTGTGCGTTTCTTTTTTTGTTCAGTTTACATCTGGAATGTCGTTTGAGAAAACGATATTTTACAATCCATTATAGACGAAAGATGGTTAAGCCCATGAATCGGTGTAGGACATGATTTGTTTGTTCAAATAGTTGAAGTGTAGGTTGGTTTACATAATATAACGATATAAATAAATAAAATGCCTAATTACATACTGTCAAACCGCAATCAAACTGTCTGGTCAGGTGATTTATTGTAGGAACTCATTTCATCATTTAAATTGTGAAATAAAATCATATGTATGTAGTAATATTACCTACACAAGTAAGTGACGACAGAATAAATCATATAAGTAACTAAAAAGCTCACATATCGCTAGCTTACTTCAGAGAGAGGCAGTAGATCGAACTTACTTGGAAGAGAGGCAACAGAGCAGCCATAGTCTACACTGGTCACGCTCTGATCTATGCTGATCGTCTCCTGGGTGACATTTTGACATCTTGTGTTTTTGCCTAGGACATCTTCAAACAATGGATTATACATCAACAATCCCGTTCAAGTGTTGAAACCCGTTGACATTTTTATTTTCATTGATAACTTGTATAAGCTGAGCATTCTCCTGACAAATATAGAGGAGTATCGCCGCTCCAAATCCAATTTGATGGTAAATATGGCCACAGTATTTTAATCATATCGCACTTAGCGATATGTACTGCTGACGCCTGTAGGTCTTTTGTGCAACAACCGCAGGGGCACAAATGATCATCAAAATCTACGATTGAATGCTGATGATACGCCGGCGTAATTGGTCTTATTATCAAAATATGCAGTGATTTGTCATCGATGAAACGGGTCACCTTAAATCCTCGAGGTTAGCAGATTGTTCGTAACGGCTATGACGGATACTGTAGCTGCTTCTTCTGGTTAATTTGAGTGACTAAATTATAAGTAGTTTGATGTTGAGTTGCGCACCGTGATGGGATGTCCCATATGGCACCATTCTAATATAACATCTAATTTCCCGGACCTCTTCCCACGCTCCAGACACGTGACGGAAAGTTTATAACATGCTTGCGTTAGATGGCCTTTTTTGCTGGTGTGCCTTCGTCATTTCAGGGATGAAGAGTTAGGAGTTCCAAACTTTCATAATAGTATAAATATATATTATAAAAGCAGAAAAACGATCCTTACGGACGAAGAAATAATGTAAAAAGAGAAATGTTGGGCTCTTTTAGGCCCCGATCCTTCAGCCCCAGGGATCACACCAACTCCCTTCATACAAAATATGATTGCCATGCCCCAATAATGTTTCAGACCAAATATAGTTGAAATATGTGCAATAGTTTCGAAGAAGTAGGATTTCAAATGCTCAAATACCCAAATTTACCCCTATTGGGGCCGGGCTGAGGTGAGGGGCCACACCCCTCCATTATACAATATAACATTTTTTTGCTGGTATTTTCAACAGATGTTTGCGAGGGAAATATTTTTAGTGCAATATAATATTTAATGAGAATATTTTGCTATGACTGCTTAAATATTCAGGTGAGCGATACAGGGCCTCTTGTTGAAACTTTTCACACAGAAGAGTCCCTAACTAAGATGTAATCCTGGGGATATGTGTAGATAACCGAACTTCTTCTAACTCCAAGCAACATGTTAGCTGCAACATCATCAAGGACCTGTCTAGAAGGTTCATACTTCTTATCCGTTTTGCACCTACTGGATTGATGACATCCCGAGTGGTCATTCTGATAATGTGCTACAGCATTTGTCAAACTGCTTTTCAATTTGGTTGGATTTCCTCCACTGTTTTTCAGACACCACTGGACATGGGTCGTTACGGGTTCAATTTTGTCTTGAAGTAAAGGGGCCAGATTTTTCCCTTTTTGTATGCTGGACCGGACGACACTGCCTTCAAACCCTTTATCAACGCCTTGGTTGCATGCCATGGGTCGTTTTGGTTGATAGTGCCAGCATCTCTGTTATTTATGCAGACCTTGTATTACAAACGAAAGAAATAAACAACAGTGGTGGGAATTAAGAGAAAATCCCCAAAACAGGAAAAATAGTATTCATAGTTAAGAATTATATAAAATATTTTGGACCATGTTATATCACAGAGGAGCATGGGGTGATCAGCGATATCAAGATAAAAAAAGCAAGCTCTGGGAATTCAGACAATGGGAGGAGAACCTGTGTGGCATAGGCGGGATATAATGCCTGACTGTGATTCAGGTTATATTATGTATTTGTTTCGGGAAGTGAGTGTAATATGTTTATGACGGTGGTAATTAGATAAGAATTCCTGTGTATGTGCCTAAAGGATCCAGTTTCTTGACATTCAGCATGCGTAACTAGGAGCATAGCAACAACACAGCTGTAAACTTCCGCTATCAATTTCCGGTAAGCCCAACCGGCAATTTCAAATTTGACTGACAGCTGAAAATTGTAACCGAAAAAAATAAATTGTAACCGAAAAAAATTAACAATAGGAAATCAAATTGATAAGAATTTTGTTCAGAAAATGATTACCACATTCAGATTCCTCACAAAAAATTATGTGGCCATGACAAAATCTGTGTCGGACGTATCAAAATCTGTGTTCACCCCACAGGGACCTGAGGGGTGAACCAATAGGGAAACATAGCAAATTATTCTTTAAAATCCTTCTCCTTCTCTAGGAATGAATGGATTTGGTCCATATTTGGTGTGGAGTATCCTTGGGTAAAGGGGAACCAAATTTTTATAAACGGTGGTTGTGGCCCTTCTTGGATCTGAGGGGCAGGACCCAATAGAGGTAAAACCTTTATAATCCTTCTTCTACCATAGGTTTTAAGGGAATTTTATCCTTATTTAGTCTGGAGCATCCTTGGCAAAAGGGACACAATATGTTATGACATTGCCTTTTTCATACTAATAATAAACAACATTTATATATCGTCGTATATAATTTGCGTTTTACAACATATGGACAATAGTATTAATTATAATTGTTTAACAAAAACAAAGGCTTACAATGCGCACATCAATGAATAAATAAAGGGTGGCAATTACATGAAGTCTTTGCAAAGAGCCTAAAATGCAGACGTGTGGAAGTGAGTTTTGATGTCCTTCTTAAATTTGGCAAGGATATTTGACTTTCTAATAGCAGATGTTAAACTATTCCACAACGTGGCCAGAAACCCTCTCAAAGCACCGGTTTCGCCATGTTCAGTGATCAAAGTATACCCCTAGATTTTAACAGCTGGGACAGTCTCTATAGCTCTGGCACCGGCCTTTAGCTGGAGAGCCATTGTTTGCTGTCAGTTTAGGGAAAATACGATTGGTTCCGTCTTTTTCTGATTAAGCTTTAGCAAGTTGGCGTTCATCCAGGTACTGATATCTATCAATCTTACAGATTTTCTGAAATTGTATCCCAACTGTCCTGACCAGGACAACCAAGCTGTAAAAATGAAAAATTTATATTAACAAAAAAATATGTGTCATAGAACACATTTCTGGATTCAGGAAAATTTCTAGCTCACCTGACTGTTGACATGTCGAGTGCCATGGAACATGCTTTTGTGATGAGAATTAATTGATTCAAACCTGAAATACAAATGATGTTTTTCTAAAAATTGAATTCACAAGATAAATATTGGAAATACTTTGTAAACCAATTAATATAGATTTGACAGGAATATCATAACCAGATTTCTTAAATTTATAGACACAACAAAAATCTTTGATAAAAGTAAATTCATTTTGCTAACAAAGCTTTGAAAGGATTGTAATTACCTTATCACCTATATAGAACTTTTGAGTTTTATAGGTGGTATCACAAGGAAACAAACACGAACATATCGCAGCCTCCCAAAATAAAATGAACCATTTTATCTGATTTATCTTCGCTATTCACATGTTTTCACATGTTTTGTTAAAAAAATCAAAAAAAAAAAAAAATCACCATGGCCCTAAATGAACACAGGCGTCGATGGGCCGTTAAACATAAACAAACAAACAAANACTGCTAGACTGAT